TTAAAACTGCAAGAATGGGCAGGTTTCCATACTAAATTCATTGCATAAGTGTTTACTAAATGTCCTTTAGGTAGACACAGGTTAAAATCATGATGAGATATCATCTCACACCCATCAGAATAACACATAACAAAAAACAACAACAACAAAAAAAAAGCCCAAACCCAAAACAAGTGCTGTAGAGGATGCAAAAGAAAGAGAAATCCTATTACACGGTTAGTGGGAATGTAAACTGGTGCAGCCAATATGAAAAGCAATCTGTATTTACTTGAAAAAACTAAAAATAGAGATGCTTTATGACCCAGCAATCCCACTCGTGGGCATCATCAGTGAACATGAAACAATTTATACAAAAAATCATATGCTCTAAAATAGTTAGGACATGGAAGCAACCAAAAAGTCCATAGACAGAAGATTCAATCAAGATGTGGTACAGCCACACACTGGAATACTATTGAGCTGTAAGGAAAGATGAAATACTTCCATTTACAGCAAAATGGTAGCTGTCTGAGGCAACTATGTATATAGTAAAGTAAATCAGAACGACAGAGATAAATATTGGACATTTACATACTGGATGATTTGACAAAGTAAAATAAGTATAAAAACCATTGGACATTAACTTAAGGGAAATTAAGAGGGAGGAGGGAGGAATATAAGGAGATGATAAAGGATGGTGGTAAGAAAAAGAAAGACAAAAAAGGAATGAACTGAACTAACCAGAATTGGAAGGGGAAGTTGCTCAGAGGATTTTTCATTTAAAGTCAATGCCAGAGCCTCCCTTGTGGCACAGGGGTTAAAGTCTCAGCGCTATAATGCTATCATGAGCCACTGGGGCATTAGTTCAATCCCCGACCGGGGAGCTAACTACATGGTGCAGCAGACCTCTCCTATCTCACCTGCTGCTCCCCTCAGCAGTGTATTTCAGTAAATCTGCCTATTCTGCTCCCTCTCACCTCCCCCCCTACCCCCCACCTCTGGCCCACACCCCAGTTCTTGTATGAATAAATAAAAATATTTAAAAAAGAAGTCAATGACAGAAATGCTCTAAGGACACATATCCATCCTTTGTTGAAAGTTCTGCAACATACACATTAGAAATGGCAGTTTGCAGGGCCTCCCCTGGTGGCTCAGTTGTTGAGCGCTGGGCTGCAAAGCTGCCCGCAGCCTCTGCAGTGCCGGTTCGATCCCCAGCCGCAGGGTGAGGGTCCCGCATGGCATGCAGACCTCTCCTGCCGCCCGCTGCGCCCCTCAGCAGTGTATTTTGTCAATCTGTCTGTTCTGTTCCCCACTCTGGCTCTGGTGAATTCTCTCACCCTCCCGCGCTTCTGACTGTACCCAGTGCTTGTATAAATAAATAAATTAATCTTTAAAAAAAAAATGGCAGTTTGCATATGATTCTCTCTCCTTAATCTTTGAGAATACAACATCTCTCATATGTGTGTTTCACTGCAGCGGATCTCATGTCTGTGCCATAAGGACTTATAACTATAATCATAGTTATTAACGTCATCAAATGACAAATTGCAAGAAACACCACATAGCCATCATCTCAGTAATGGGTAATTCCTTTAAAACATATCAGATAATCGGGCCTCCCCGGTGGCGCAGCGGTTGAGCGCTGGGTTGCGAAGCTGCCCGCGGCCTCTGCGGCGCCGGTTCGATCCCCGGCTGCTCCCCGGCCACCGGCGGAGAATCCCACATGGCGCGCAGACCTCTCCTGCCGCCCGCTGCTCCCTTCAGCAGTGTACTTCGGTCCTTCTGCCTGCTCTGCAGTAACTGTGTGTATAAATAAACATGCTCTATAAAAAAAAACATATCAGATAATCATGTCACAAAGTGTTAACTTAAGATTGACAGTCACAGGTCTTCCAAACTCTTTCACCTCCAGATCTCCTGCACCTGGCAGCCGGGGTCAACCCCACCAGGTTTTCGACAACCTTAGTCAAAGATGAGCCCTTAGGCCACATCTCCTCAGAGCTATTTGCAAACAAAGTTCCAAAGACCACAGAAAACTTTCATGCTCTAGGAACTAGGAGGAAAGGATTTGGAGAATTACTCCAGGATTTATATGCCAGGGTGGTGACTGCACATGCCATAATGGCATGACCAGCAAGTCCATCTATGGGGAGAAATTTGATGATAATTTCAGTCAGAAGGATACAAGTCCTGGTGTGTTGTCCATGGTAAATATTGCACCCAACACAAACAGTTCCCGGTATTTCATCTGTACTGCAAACTGAGGGGCTGGATGGTTAGCATGTGCTTTTGGGCAAGGCAAAGGAGGGTATAAATATTGTAGAAGCCATAGAGAGCTGTGTCCAGGAATGGCAAGACCAGCAAGTAGATCACATTGCTGACTGTGGATAAATCTAATAAATTGGCTCGTGTTTTACCTTCATCACCAGACCATTCCTTCCAGATCATACCCCCTCACCCCCATCAGTTCCAAATATCCTATAAATCTTCATGTTCTTGCTGCAGTTCTTTGGATTCTATTTTCCTTATCACCCTCCAAATCTAGCTGGGTTGCAAAGTTTATGATTATAAAATAATAAACAACAAAAAGACTATTAGTCACAATCATATATACAAATTACCCATTACACGAAAGAAAATTATTTTTTCATTAAACTAGTTAACTTGCAAAGTGTGAAATATAGCCACACTCACTTATTTAACTAATTTAATATCTATATCCCTATGTTATATGTGGTAAAGATTTCATTAGAGATTTATCATAAAAGTATGCTACCACATATGTTGATCACAATTTTGTTCTCAGGCATCACATCTTGGGAGTGACTTAAATGTGAACCATATTTATATCATGGGAGTATGGCACAAGGTGGTATTTTTTTTTTTCCAGTTATGTTTTGCTCAATAACACACCAACTCAAAGTTTAGAGGCTTAGAACAATAGCAATTGGTTATTTCTCTCAAGTCTGGGTGTTGACTGAACTCAGCTGCAGTTACTTATGTGGTCACAGACACTGGGAGCGTGATTAGACTGCAAGACGCTTCATTCACATGTTTGAGCTGCTCCAAGTGTTCCTGTTCTCTTCCCCCAACCCCCTCACCCATGCCTATACTTGAGGATAGGCTTCCCAGGAAGTGAAAGCTACAGTTGCTATGCCTCTTGAAGTCTATGCCCAGAACTGACACAGCATCACTCTGCCACAGTCTATTGGTCAAAGGAAGTCACAAAGCCAGCCTACATTCAAATGGAGCAGAAACAGACTCGATCTCTTGATGGAAGGAGCAACAATTAAGTACAAGCATGAGGGGAAATACTGGCAGCCATCTTTAGAGAACTACCCAGCTGAAAAACATTACCGAAGGTTTCCACTGTACTACTTGAGTTCAGGATTGAAGCATTAGAGTATACTTTGTGTATTTCCAAAACTCAAACTTTTTCTTAGGCATTAAAAAGAATACCTTGACAATGCTAAGTAGAATGTTAATCTCAGAAAAGTTATAAATCATCTTATCTAGGGTTGAGGGAGGGATAGACACCATTTTCATTCTTCAGGAGTGGTCTGAACAGTCTTCTCTAGATGGCATTCATCATCTCCTGAAGTCATTTTATACCTTACAATTTATTATGTATGCAAGAGTATGATATCACTATATAGAGAGGTGTCTCCATCTCTTATTATCCAAACTCTATCTCAACTCAAGAATCAAATAGATCTAAGTTCTTCAACACTCACATGTTTATTATTGGTTTTCCAAGTCTCAGAAATAAGCTAGATTTGAACATCAGTTATCTTACAGTGTGATATCTCCCTCTCTGAATACAGTACCCCAGTAAAATTGTATAGTAAAAAGGGACTTAAAAAAAAAATACATATGCCTCCTGAGCATTCTTCAATATGTAAACAATATATAACATTTTTAGATTTTTTAAAATCACATAATATTAAAATGTGTCCTGATGCCCTATCTATGCTCTAGACTCCTTGTGGCCCAAACCTCATTTCCCATGCATGGCTTACTGCTTAAGGTACATACAGAAAGAATCGTATAGTAATAGTAGTGAAAGATCTTGAACTTCCCTTCAGTTTCATCCTTCCCGCTCTGATTTTCAGACTTGCCACTTTCCACTGCTAATTACTAAGATGGAGCCAAGCTCTTACTGGAACATATAGACACTTTTTTTTTTTTTTAAATAGAGGCATGTTTATTTATTTGTTTGTTTGTTTTTTTGTTTATACATGCACTGGGTACAGTCAGAAGCACAGGAGGGTGAGAGAATTCACCAGAGCCAGAGCAGGGAGCAGAGCAGGCAGAAGGACCGAAGTGCACTGCTGAGGGGAGCAGCGGGCGGCAGGAGAGGTCTGCGCGCCATGTGGGACCCTCCTCTGGTGGCCGGGGAGCAGCCGGGAATCGAACCGGAGCTGCAGAGGCCGCGGGCAGCTTCGCAACCCAGTGCTCAACCGCTGCGCCACCGGGGAGGCCCTATAGACACTTTTTAATTCAAAATTTTTTAACAATTGCTTAAAGCTACAAACTTGACAGCTTTGGCTTTTATGGCTGTTTGTTTACGGAAGTTGCCAAAACTTGGTAATTTGGATCACACATATAAAATCACTCAGGAAGCAATCACTCTGAAGATTAATGTCCTTCCTCTTCAAGAAAAAGAAACTTCAAAAAGATATCCATTCCACATTAGTATAATTAGTATACACAATTACATACTCAACCCTGAAAGCAATTCAAAAAGATGAAATTCCTCCAGTGCTCACTTCAAATGGCTACTTTTCTAAAGTTTAGAGTACATTATAAACTGCTATCAAAGTTAAATCATTTCCCCATTCCTTTCAGTATTCTGTACCTTTATGTTTTGTTACTAGCCCACTATACACACCAGTTTCAGAAACCGCTTTTACCTCCAAGGGCTATAATCCTTTTCTAAAAAGTCAAAGACAAGGCGATTTCGGTGTGTTTTCCTTTTTTTTAAGGTTATACTATTGCTCTAATAAAATTGTACCCCCCACCTGCAAAGAGTTCTGCAGCAAATGCCTTCGGGTGTCTCACGTGCAAATAAACATAAAGGAGAAGCCACTTCCGAGAGAACAGAGCTTGCCTTCACGGACATCTTAAATAAAATAAAGCGGCTCGTTTTTCCGAAGCAGGACCAGAGAAACGTCATCTCACTCAGCTCACTGCACCACGGGTAAAGGTCCTACTACGTGAACACCCTTGTGCGGAGTCCGAGTCGTGGGGAACAGGGACACCGCGAAGCACAGGGTTCGCGCCCCCACTCCCGGGGGAGATGCCGAGATCCCGGAGGGCGCCGAGCGAGGACGGGGAGTCCGGGGAGGTCTCCGCCCTGCCCCACCCGCCCGCAGCGACCACAGCCTTCAGCTCCCAGCGGAACCGCGTCAGCGCAGCTCGAAAGAGAGGGCGCAGGGAAACTTTGCCTAGCGTCTGCCCACCGGCTCCCGGGAAGAAAAGCGGGACGAGCTCCCGGGAATAAAAGCGGGACGAGCTGCTGACCGCGCCCGGGCAGCGGCCCCCGCCCGCCCGAACGCAGCGCCCGAGGCCCGGAGCCGGGGCCCGCAGCCCGCACGGAGGGGAGGGGGGCAGGCAGCGAGCAGGAGTTACGGGGCGCGCGGGCTGCGGGCGCGGGGAGAAGGGCAGGGGCGGAAGCGCCTCCGCGAGCTCGGCCCGCGCCCCACCCGCTACCTGGGAAGCGGCCCCTCCGCGCACCGTCCGACCGGGCCCAGCCGCCGCGAGCGCCGCGGGATCTCGGAAGCTCCCACCGGAGAAGCGGCCGCGAGTGGCGGCACCTGAGGCCGCCCAAGGGGAAGAGCGGGAGGCGGGGCCCGGGAGCCGGACCCTGGTCACGTGGCCGGGCCGCCTCACGTGACCGCCCGGCGCGCGCTGCGGGTGACGTCGCTGGGCCGACCCCTGGGACCTGGGCGCCTTCGGCCCGGGCCGGTGCGCCGGGTCTTCTGGAAAGGCTGATTGGCCGTTCGAGTCCAGGCCTCGCACTCGGCGGAGAGGTGCTTTGAAATGGATGGGGTTTGGGGGGACTTTTTTTGTTTGTTTTTGTCTCTCTGGAACTGGGATGCGCGAGGTGCAGTCCTTCCTGACTGGCTTGGCCGTGGGGGGTGGGGTGGGGTGCGCAACCAATCTCTCCAAGGCTTTAGGACGCAAAGCGAGTGAAAATTCACCTCCCTGCGCATTGCCTGCCCTGCATTTTCTGGGCATTACCCAAGTGTTGCTGCCTAGGACAAAAGGCCTCAGTAGAAACTCGTTTTACTCCAGAAACCTGCTCCCCACTCCAATTTCCTAGTGGTAGAAGAGCACCTAGGTGTGCCTGGAGGAGTGAAGCACAGGGCCCAGATAAAGGAAATTTTAACAGGGTGGTCCCCAGTAAAAGGGGAGGTTTCCGGTTACCCACCCCACCCAAAGGAGGGTGGAGCTGGGCTGGGAGGAGAAGCTGGAGAAGTAGGGAAGGAGGGTGGAGAGCAAGAAGGAGGCCTGGATGAGGCATGTGGAGCAGAGACACGTGAAGAAACTGCGCTCACTTCTTGGTCCTGGACTGGTTGGAATGTTAAAGGGAAAGGAGGTCCTGAGCAAACACCATATAGGCTTTGCGGACTCCACCCCCACACCATCTAGACACTGGGAACTATAAATCCCATGATCCCCAAAGGGAGGGTTGCAAGGACTTGAGGGCAGAGTTAAGCAGCATGTTTTTTGTTTGGGTATATAATTAGCAATGTGAGCAGGGTTGCTCTCTTGGCTCCACGGTGCTTGGCTTTTTGCTGGTGATTGGGTTTCAAGGTCAGCAGTATAGGTAGGACTCGTTTATGAATTTATCTCCCTTTTTCCTCTTCCTGAGTTATTCATTTCCTCATTTCCCCTTCCCATGTAAATAAACCTTTTATTAACCTTTTATGTGTGCCTGCAGTTTAGCATTAATAAGCTTCCCTTTAAGCATAAGGGTGAGGGCCCACAGTCAGGCAACCCATTTCATATCGGGATTGCTCTGTAACAGGAACAGATGTGGGTGGGAGATTGGTGGAGAGGTTAACAGTGGCAGCTTTTATCTTCATTTTGAGTTTGTTCTTTTGCTCCCAGACTTGTCTGACCTTTTTTATGGGTCCCCGCCAGAACATGCTTTAGAGTTATGGCAGGCTTTCAGGCCTTGCTTTGGGTCAATCCTGTTTGGGTGGACTTTTACCAACGAGGGGATGGGTAACTTACAGTGCTTGATTTGGAATCTATATTGTCTTTTCTGTATTACACACTAATTAAAGTTGCTTTCCATTAAAGGTCTATATGTTTTGCCTTGATGCAGTGGATGGCAGAACCTATTTAGAGCAGGCAGTTTAGGGGCTCTGGGGTGCCCCTCTCCCTGCCTTGTAATAGAAAGAAGGCAGCAGGGCCTCAGAAGCAGGTTATCAAGATTGGAAGAGACCTAAGGAAGCAAATGACCCAATCCTTTTCATAAATGACTAAACAGGCTGGAAAGAGGGGATGCTTCATGCCACTCCATCTATTGAGACAACAATCATATTTATAAAATACTGTACATCTCTAAAAAGTCCCTGTTGGTTCCACAGGATAAAGTCCAAACTTCATGGCATAACTTCAAGCAAGTTTGTTCAAACTTATTTTTCCTGTTTGAGCTCCCATGAATAATAGAACATTTTTTTATTTTCTAAGTTTCACCCAAGAGCTCAACTAATCTACTATAAAAAGCCAGTTTTTCTCAATAATGCTTTACTCTTGAGCTACAGAGCATTCCTGTTCTCTTTGACTACTCAACTTTTTTTGGATTGCTTTCTGTAGGAAAAAGAGAGTTGCTTTACTCCCTTTCACATTTGGTCATTCTTTTGTTTCTGTCTGAAAGCTTAATCATTACCCTCTCCTACCATAAAGAAAACTAGCACCCAAAAGTAAAGTAGTAAAACAGATTTATTCAGAAACTATTACAATAGGGTAATTAAGCCCAGTTCAATATTGAAGTCTCTTCTCCCATGTTGCAATAGTTCCTGAATACAAGCTGTGTTTATGACTTCAAATACTGTCAGCTCCAATTATCTTTAACAGTACTCCAAGGTACACACCAGTTTCCTACTCATCTTTCAAAATTCAGGTCAAATACCACCCACTCTTGTGTTCCTTCCCTGCATCCTCCTCCTTGATCCAGTAGCTCCAACAACTGGCCTTCACTCACTGAACACCCCTGATTTCCCAGGATACTATATTCTGATACATAAACTTATATTGCCCAGAAATGTACTGTAAGAAGTAAATTGCCTATTACTAACTTCCTCCCGAGATAACAAACTCTTTGAAACAGAGCTTCCCAGCTTACTAGAGTACCCTCAATAGTCAATGAGGGTCCATGTGGTAGAGCCTCAGTATCCACTGAATAAAGTGGCTTGACTGAGATCACAGCAGTTCAGTGACTTTGCTGAATGACTCTTACTTTGTTCAGAGAAACCAGTCAGTTTTTTCAGGGCTACAACCTGATCAGAAGAACCTCTATTGAGAAGTTCTTGTTTGTTTGAGAAAAAAATGGGGGTGTAGGGTTTGAGTCATCAAGAGTTTCCTGAGTGTCCTCTGCTTATCCAGTGCCAGATGGCATATTTGGAGCATCTTGGAAGATAAAAGGGTGAATATAACCTAGTTGCTGATCAAGGGATGTGTAGTCTGCTACATTATTCCAGTACAGGGTGAAAGGTGTGGTGATGCAAGGTGCTAAGTGAATCTAGAGGGACATAGTCAGGAAGAAACTTCCTGAGAAGGTGAATTTGGACATGTAGTTACATGAAGAAAGAAAGGAAAAACCTCCCAGGAAAAGGACTAGTATATTCAAAGGTAGCAGAACATAAAACTGTTATTTATTTAGGAAAAAGTAAGTAAACCTGTATGGCTGGAGTTGGTAACTTCATTTATCTATGTGATAAAGGAAATCTAGTTAGATTGATGTTGACATATTTGAAAGATTTATTAGTATTTGCATTATTTTTTGGATTACATAACTTTTCAGTGGGCATATCATAAACTTTTCACATAATATTGATCAGTGGAGTAGTGCCAGGTACGTTTTTGCTCTTTTGTTCCCCCCAAAAGGTCTCTGTAATTATTAGCAAGAAAGAGCAAAATTACTTGTTCCAAACAAGATTATTTTAGAGCACAGTAGGCTTTTCCTATAGGGCAAAATATTTCGATTTATAAGTACCACCTTAAAAAAGAAACTGGGTTCTGCTTCCAGGAAACTGGGTTCTGGGAGAACTACTCTTCTTTATATTAGGACTATGCTAATAAAAAGTACTTGCCAAAAACCTAGAGAAATACCATTAGTGTAAAGTTTAAGATGGTATGGGACATAACAGAATGATTCTAATCACTCTTGGGGGCTTCAGAATTTTATTTCAAAAGTTAATTTCTCAATAAATGGAAAATTAGAACATCCTGCACTGCTCCCTTTCCCCTCACTGTGCTCCTCTCTGAATGCCAATTTAGGATCATGTAGTCAATCAATCTGGCCCCACTTCCTTCAGCTGGAGCATCTAACTCCACATTGAGTGCACCTCTTACACAGTTTTCTTTGCCAAGAAAATCTTGTGACGTTTCCTTAGGCTTGTTTTTCGTAGGCTGCTAGAAATTTCTTGATATTGGGCAAGCAAAATTAAAAGGAATTTCAGTTATTTCCTCAAAGATTTAAAAACAGCTGGGTGTGCCCAGATTATCTCCACCTTTGTATTCTGGCCCCTGCTTCTCCTTGGAATTGGTCAAGACTGAGAGAAATAAACCAGACAACCACCTACTCTTGTAATGACTGAACCCATCACATTTAGGTCACAATATAAGATAGTTTACCTGTTTATGTAATACATAGTTGTGAAGTCTGTTCCAACAATCTCAAAGAAGTATATTTGTTGGGCCTCCCTGGTGGCACAGCAGTTCAGCGCTGGGTTGCGAAGCTGCCCGCAGCCTCTGCAGCGCCGGTTCGATCCCCGGCTGCTCCCCGGCCAATGGAGGAGGGTCCCACATGGCACGCAGACCCCTCCTGCCGCCCGCTGCTCCCCTTAGTGGTGTACTTCAGTCCTTCTGCCTGCTCTGCTCCCCGCTCTGGCTCTGGTGAATTCTCTCACCCTCCCGCGCTTCTGACTGTGCCTAGTGCTTGTATAAATAAAATTAAATAAATAAATAAATAAATAAATAAAAATAAAATCTTAAAAAAAATAAAAAGAAGTATATTTGGTTTTGTTTTGTTTTGGTTTGGTTTTTTAAATATTTATTTATTTATACAAGCACTGGGCACAGTCAGAAGCGCAGGAGGGTGAGAGAATTCACCAGAGCCAGAGCGGGGAGCAGAGCAGGCAGAAGGACCGAAGTACACTGCTGAGGGGAGCAGCGGGCGGCAGGAGAGGTCTGCGCGCCATGTGGGACCCTCCTCCTGTGGCCGGGGAGCAGCGGGGGATCGAACCGGCACTGCAGAGGCTGCGGGCAGCTTCGCAACCCAGTGCTCAACCACTGCGCCACCGGGGAGGCCCCAGAAGTATATTTGTTTTTGAGAAATGAGGGTGACATTTGGTTTTAGAATTTTGCAAATGCAATATAATGTAGAATCTAATTAGAGGAAGATTACACTTTGATTTCAGTTAGCTGAACAGGTAAAATTAATCCCTGGTTTTGTGGATAAAGAGAGTACGGGAGCACTTGATAGATTTTACAGACTTTTAATGCTTTCTGAGGAACCAGGCACGCTGGTAGGGAGGCTGGCATGCAAGAAGACAGGCAGGGCGGGCAGGGAGGCTGGGAGGCAGGCAGGAAACCGAGCCCCCAAACCCCTGCAAATCTTTGTTCTCTTTCTCTGTCAGTCTCCTGTCATCTTGCAGTCTTACCTCAGAGTGGTCCTCCTGCCATAGTCGGTCTCAGAGTGATGCCATCCTTTTAGCCATCACTAGGCACAAGAGTGAGCGTTCACACATGCACACTCCCATGCTCCCTGGGTCCTGGCGTCATAATTAAATGTGCCCGCCCATGTCTCGCACCCTGGCAGGAAGGACGAAAAAAGCTCAATTTTAAAAAATTATTTACTTTTTACATCATTGTTCATTTTTAAACAATATTTGCTCCCCCCCCCCAACCCAGGTGTAGTCCCCATAGAATTTCCTTCACCAATGCACCTGTGCACAATCACCACAGTCCCCTCTCCTCCTCCTCTGGTGCAGGATGTCTCTGGTTTATAATTGTCTGGTTTTGTTTTGTTGTGTTTTGTATTGTTACTGTTTTTTTTTACACTGATGTCTTATTTGGTTCCCCTGTATTCCTCCTATAGGCAAAACCATCCAGTATTTTTCTTTTTCCTTCTGACTTATTTCACTGAGCATAATTCCTTCTAGCTCCATCCACATTGCTGTGAATGGCATGAGTTTATCTTTTTTGATTGCTGAGTAATATTCCATTGTATATATATATATATATATATATATATATATATATATATATATGCCACATCTTCTTGATCCAGTCATCTATTTTCAGACATTTGGGTTGTTTCCAGGTTTTACCTATTGTAAATAGTGCTGCAATAAACATAGGGGTATACGTATTCTTTTGAATCAATGTTTTTGTGTCCTTTGGGTAGATCCCTAGGTGTGGAACTGCTCAGTCATATGGTAGCTCCATTTTTAGTAGGCTGAGGAACTTCCAGACAGCTTTTCAAAGTGGTTGGACCAGGCCTCCCTGGTGGCGCAAGGGATTGGGACGCAACCTATGAAGATATCTGCAGCCACTGGCACGAGTTCGATCCCCGGCCAGCCAGGGAGCAACCCACAGGGCACAGCAGACCTTTCCTGACTCACCTGCTGCTCCCCTCAGCAGTGTGTTTCAGTCAATCCGCCTGTTCTGTTCCCCACTCTGTCTCTGGTGAGTCCTCTCACACACACCCCCCCACACACCTCTGGCCTGTACCCCAATTCTTGTATGCATAAATAAATCTTTAAAAAAACAAAGTGGTTGGACCAGTTTGCACTCCCATTATGGAGGCTGCCTCAGGAGCCCAGGAGCACCACTGCCACTGCCTGTGCTGCTGCCTGCTGCTGTTGCTGCCTGTTGCTCATTTGCATTTCCTCTTTGGAGAAGTGTCTTTTAAGTTCTTCTGCCCATTTCTTGACGGCCCATTTCCAAATCAGTGGGGTGTCTCTTTGTTTTGGTTAAAGTCTCTTTTGCTGTACAAAAGCAAAAAGCCCAATTTTTAACTTCATTTCCCCTAACAAGCTAAGAGCAATTGAAAAACTTTTACCACTTCTTTATCTAGAAGAATAAAAATTGGGGGTATTGTTACGGAACAGCCCTGATATAAAAACAGGTTGCCTGGCTGTGGGTCCTCACCCGCGCGCTTAAAAGGGCTTATTAATACTCCACTACAGGCACACACAAAAGGTTAATAAAAGGTTTATTTACAAGGGAAAGGGAAATGAAATGTACAACTCAGGGAGAAAATAGGGAAATAAAGTCTTTAATGCGTCCTACCCGATCTGCCGACCTGGAAACGCAAAGGCACTCCGAGAGCTAGCCGAGCAGAGAGCCAAAAAGGGAACCCCCCAAAGCCCACGTGTCTGGTTTTATACCAAACCTGGCTGCTTAACCCCACCCTCAGGTTCCAGGAACCTTCCCTTTGGTGGTGATGGGATTTGTCTTTCCCAATGTCCTGATGGCTTTGGTCTGGAGTGGGGGTGGAGTCCACAAAGCCTGTATGGAATTAGCTTTAGGACATCCTTTTCCCCCTAATAGTATTACCCTGAATTGGAATTTTTACCAGAAATAACTTTCATATTGGAGAAGTGTATCTTTTTACAGACATCTGGTCTTTGTCATATAGATCACTCTTTCCTCATCCTATGAGAGCCTCTGCTCCCTTCTTGAAGCCCTAGGCCCCTCTCTGACCTTAGCTTGAATCTTGCCTGGGTTCGTGATTGTAGGACAAGTGATTATCAGGCTTTGCTGTCCTCCCACCATTAGGATTGACGATGGATCTGCAGTCCTGAATGCATGCCTGATGGGGGGCACCTGGACTGGGGTGTGGGCATACGTAGGTGGGCTCACCTGGGATGAGACTGGCTTATAAGGGCGGCTTCATGGGGATGCCAGTAGAAGAAGAGAAAGAAGGGAGAAGGAGAAGCAAGGCAACAAAACCAGAAGGGAGAAGGAGCACCCAAGAGAGAGCAGAACTGTAACAGGGTGGTTCCCAGGAAAGGGGGAGGTTCCAGGTTCCCAGCCCCACCCCAGGGAGGGTGGAGCTGAGCAGATGTTATAGGACAGGGAGAGGGGCAGCCCAAACCCCGCAAACCTGCCTATTCTAAATGGGTTCTGCCATTCGCCACATCAACACAAAACATATGAGACTTTAATGGGAAGGAACTTTAATACAACTAGGAAACAATACAGGAAAGGCAAAGAGTCTAGTTTCTAAATGAAGCATCCAAAGTTACCCGTCCCCTCGTGGGTAAAACTCCATCCATATGGGATCGGCCCAGAGCAAGGCCCCAAAGCCTGCCACAAGTCTAAAGCATCTTCCAGTGGGGACCCACAGAAAAGGGTCAGAAACAACCAGACAAGCCCGGAAGGAAAAGAGCAAAATCAACATCAAGATAAAAGCTGCCACTGTCACCTCCCCACGAGTCTCACCCACATCTGTGTCAGCCAGTCCACAACCAAAAGACAAGCGCAGTTTCTTCATGTGTCTCTAGGCTCCATGCGCCTCCTCCAGGTCTCCTTCTGGCTCCATCCTGCTTCCTTCCTTCCTCAGTCTCCTCTGCATCCTCTTCTCTTCCTGCTCAGCCCCACCTTCCCTTGGGTGGGGCAGGGAACCTGGAACCTCCACCTTTCCTGGGGACCACCCTGTTACACAGAGAAGAAGCTGCAGAGGATACTGAGGAGGAAGCATGATGGAGCCAGAAGGAGACCTGGAGGAGGCACATGGAGCCTAGAGACACGTGAAGAAACTGCGCTTGCCTTTTGGTCGTGGACAGGGTGACACAGATGTGGGTGAGACCCGTGGGGAGGTGACAATGGCAGCTTTTATCTTGATTTTGATTTTGCTCTTTTCCTTCCGGGCTTGTCTGGTTGTTTCTGACCTGTAGGGTAAGGAAAAATGTCAGACTTTTCTGCCCTCCCACCATCAGGATAGATGATGGATCCTTGTCCCGAATGCATGCCTGATGGCGGGCACCTGGAATAGGGTGTGGGCATAGGTGGTTGAGATTCACCTGAGCTAAGACTGGGCTTTTAAGGCCTGCATCATGAGGACGCCAGTAGAAGCCGAGAACGAACAGAAGCTGAGAGAGAAGCAGAAGCAGAGATCACCAGAGAGCCCAGATAGAGTGAAGACTTGCTGGGGGCTGGGAGGCCTGTCAGCCTCCCGGCCCCCCAGCACCCCTGCCTGCTGTGTGCTGGGTAAATCCCAATAAAAGACCTGCAAAAGCCACTGAGGACTCTGACTCCTCCTTTACCCAGGCTGCATGGGATCAGAAAACCTGCACTGTGTTGTTCCTGACACTTTACATGACCCTTTTCTGTGGGTCCCCACTGGAAGATGCTTTGGACATGTAGCAGGCTTTGGGGCCTTGCTCTGGGCCAATCCCATTTGGATGGAATTTTACCCACGAGGGGACGGGTAACTTTGGATGCTTCATTTAGAAACTAGATTCTTTGCCTTTCCTGTATTGTTTCCTAATTGTATTAAAGTTCCTTCCCATTAAAGTCTCATATGTTTTGTGTTGATGCGCGGATGGCAGAATCCATTTAGAACAGGCAGGTTTGTGGGGTTTGGGCTGCCCCTCTCCCTGCCCTGTAGCAGAACCAGCAGAGACAGCGGAGACACCACGAGAGAACATCAGAAAGAGTGAAGACTTCCTGGGGGCTGGGAGGCCTGCCAGCGTCCTGCCCCCACCATTCCCGCAGCACCCCCATCCCTCCCCCCACCCTTGCCTGTCGTGTACCTGGTAAACTCAATAAAAGCCTGAAAAGCCACCGAGGGCTTGTTAAGGGCAGGAATGGACACTGAGCAGGTTTTCTGATCCAGCAGACTGGGTAAAGGAGGAGTCAGAGTCCTCAGTGGCTTTTGCAGGTCTTTTATTGGGGTTCACCAGGCATGTGGCAGGCAGGGGTGCTGGGGGGCCAGGAGGCTGGCAGTCCTCCCAGCCCCCAGCAAATCCTCACTCTATCTGGGCTCTCTGGCGTTCGTTCTGCTGTTTCTCGGCTTCTCTTTCGGCTTCTCCTGGGAGCCCCGTGACGCCGCCCTTAAAAACCCAGTCTCAGCCCAGGTGAATCCCATCTACCTATGCCCACACCGTACTCCAGGTGCCCGCCATCAGGCATGCATTCAGAACCGCAAGGATCCATCATCTATCCTGATGGCGGGAGGGCAGAAAAGCCTGACATTTTTCCTTACCCTACAGGGCTCCAGGACTCTCCTTTACCCGTCTGCTCAGATCACAGAGATCCTGCTCTGTGCCTTCCTGCCGCTACAGTGATGCCAGCACATGAGAGAAAAGTCAGGAGGCTCCGGCAGGGCCAGCAAGTCTTTTTTTTTTTAAAATACTTTTTTTTAAATGTTTTTTTTTAATAGAGGCATGTTTTATTTATTTGTTTGTTTGTTTATACAAGCACTGGGTACAGTCAGAAGCGCGGGAGGGTGAGAGAATTCACCAGAGCCAGAGCAGGGAGCAGGCAGAAGGACCGAAGTACACTGCTGAGGGGAGCAGCGGGCGGCAGGAGAGGTCTGCGCGCCATGTGGGACCCTCCTCTGGTGACCGGGGAGCAGCCGGGGATCGAACCGGCGCGGCAGAGGCCGCGGGCAGCTTCGCAACCCAGCGCTCAACCGCTGCGCCACCGGGGAAGCCCAGGGCCAGCAAGTCTTTATTGAAGCAGCAGGAGACAGGATACATACAGCAGCAATATTTGCAGCATCTGTGACCGGGGCTGGCGGCAGGCATGGTACATGGGCGGCAGCAGCAGTGGATCCTGGAAGGCTGGACGCCCCCATCCCC